ATGTTTATTATCATCTTACAGAACCGTTATTTTGGCACAACTTCGCCTCTTGAGATTTAATTTAATCTAAAAAAATCTAAAAACCATCTCAATAAAGAGAAAATTTCTGTCCAAAAACTTTATGAGACTGCGAACCAAAATAATAGTGTTATAAGATAGTTGATATAGTTTCTGAATAATTATTAAGAACAATCTCAGTTCCTGGAACAAAGTCAAGTTTTCTTTTTTACGTTAACCCTTCATGTAAAGATGGAAACACTCGATTTACAACGGTACCCTCGTCTTGATGCCCTTATCTCATTATTAATATTGCGGTTTTTTTCAGGTTTTGAAGTGTTTAATTTAGATAATTCCATTTTGTTTCCCTGCAGAATAAATTCGTAAGCCACTTTTGTATTTCATAATTGATTAGGCAAAGTTTTTAAGGGGTCCATTGTGAATCGGACAATGCCAACTTTCTATCTGTATGCAGGGTCACTTGAAATTACACTTTGAGTCAACAAAACCAGTTAGCATCATACATAGTAATGTAGCCAGGCTCCAGTGCTCCCTGTTTTACAAAAGAAAATATTTTTAAATTGTATTACTAATGTGAAGTGTTGGATGTGCATCAGCCTTGCCACTGGGCTGCTATACAGTATTCATGAATTCTTTTAATTGTAAAATTTAAAAAAAATTATTTTAATTTTCAAAGCTTAATATATTTTTTTTAAATTATCAACTTTCACTTTTATTCTATCCTTTTATAAAGCTTGGTAACTAACCACCACTACCCTAGGATAATCATTTTAGGTATTTTATCCGATAGTTCAAAGAAGTTTTTCAGGGAGGATTTTTCTTGCCTGGTTCATTGGATCCATAATTTACCAGATTCTTAATTCAAAATAGAACTGGGATGTATGGGTGCCATGACAAACTCCTGAAAGACAAACTCCTGAAAGACAAACTCCTGAAAGACAAACTTCTGAAAGACAAACTCCGGAAAGACAAACTCCTGTGACAAGACAAACTCCTGAAAATACAAACTCCTGAAAGACAAACTCCTGAAATTATGAAATTTTTCTCTGAATGAAATATGATAAAATTCATAAACTTTAGGAGAAAAAATCCGCAAATATCCTAGAAAAAAATTCTCAATCTTTAGTAATTTGAATATGCTAAAGGATAGATAGATAGATAGATAGACAGACATACGGGTTTGGAAAGCTGGATTCCCCAAGCAGCAGAAATTGAATGATGGCCAATTTATACAATTATCTGAATTATGTCAAATTTTCAAACAATTTAGACATTTCATCTTACACACACGCTCTCTCTCTCACACACACACACACTGACACAAACTATGCGTAAGCATCAATCTTTTAATATCTAAACCCCCCTCCGATTTTATCCTGAAAACCCCCCACCGTGTCCTCTAAAACCCCCATCTTGTCCTAAAACGGTTTCTGATCATCGTATTTTTGGCGGCCATTGACTAATCTCATTCTAATATTATTTATTATTATTGATTTGAGCGGCCTTCCCTCATACATAAAATACGTACAATGAGAAGAGACAGATAGATAGATAGATAGATAGACAGATAGACAGATAGACAGATAGACAGATAGACAGATAGACA